GCGAGTTCAGCTGGACTTTGACGTCGTGTGGTGAAATGGAGGATCGTAAACGTCAGACTACATCATTAGTTTCGGCAGTCGTGTACCATCGCAGAGGAAAAGCGAATAAGCGCCCCCCTATCACGAATGCACCCGAGGCTCAAGAAGAAGTGTTCACTTCCAGACAACGTGACTTCATTCAAACATTAACTCGTCGTAACACTCAATATGATCAACTCCCTCTTCCAAAGAACAGTTTGGCCTGCCCTTTCTCTACCCCGTCTCCTCTCCCAGCACCGTTTCCCGGTGGCCGTCCCCGCCCTCTAGAAGGTTTCGAACCGCCAGCACCTTTTCTCGCAGGGGCCGGTGCAGGATTCCTTTCTTCCTGCCGCATTTCCTTCGACAGGTCGAGGGCAAAGTGGTAGTCTTCGTGTTCGGCTTTTTCGCCTGGTGGGAGGTGGAGATTGCAACGTGAGCAAAAATAAGTCTCGGGTGGTCTTTGCGGTACGGAGGGTCTGGCACGAGGAACCGGTGTTATTGGGTCGTGATGCTGTTGTGGTGGGGAATGTGACGCGGGCTGGGGTTGGGCTGAGGGAGGTGTATCTGGTGGATACAAGTCCATGTCTGAACTATGGCGGTCTAAAAGCGGTGTCGATGGTCGCTGTACTTCATCGTCTTGTTGTACCTGTAAAGGATCGAGATCCTCCCCAGTTGCTTCCGCCTCATCTCCACTTTCGTCCCTTGTAGATTCGCTATGTGCTTTCCACAGCACAGCTCTTGCAGCATCGAAGTCGCTGCTCTTCTCATCTCTCGGGCCAAAGAAATTAGCAATGTTGCCTTTCGTCCTTCTCCGCTTCGCAGGTGGCTCGCCTCCACCCACGGTAGCTCTGCCACTTGACAGCATGGCCTTTGCTTCTTCGCCTCGAACCAGGAAGCCGCCAATTCCTTTATTGTTCGTGATGCCGTCTTCGAAACCCCCGACGCTCAGAGAAAGATTGGAGCAAGGCCACGCTCTCCCATCAACGACGACTTGGGCCAGAAGATTCTTCGCAAGGTCGAACAAGATAGTTTCTGACAGTGGTTTGCCCTGGGGTATTGGTGCTTGACGACTTCGTGTCTGTGCGCCTTGACGATGATGCAAATTGACGCTCTTGGGTCTTCTCTTGTTCTCCAGCACACCCTCTTCCACGCACCGTGAGAATATATCCGCAACGAAGATGCGTAGCCACCTTACACCCTGCTCGAACGAGTTGATGGCTGGTCTGAAGGATTTCGCTGAAAGCATACTCTTGATCTGTGTACGCGGGTTGACCTCGCTGCTGTCTTCGCCTCTGATGATGGAGTATATCCAACTGCCGGTGTCGTCGCCTAGCTTCTTCAATTGGTCCAATGGCTGTTCCACAAGGTCTTTCACTTTGTCTGTCCCGAACATGGCGACTACTTCGTCTCCCAATTTGCCGCCCAGCATGCGAATCTTGGTAAACTTCATGTCGGAGAGAAAGTGCTTGACAGCGCGATTCCGTATAACGGTTTGTTGATTCGGCTTCTTGTATCCTGATCCTAGTTTCGACAGCATCTTGTTCCTCGCGACGCCCCCGGAACAGGTATAGCCCAACGTATCCTTGATATGTCTCCTCACATCTCTTACAATCTCGGATGCGATGACCATACACACATCGTCCCAGTCTGGATCTCTGTCTTCTCCATCTTCCTCGCCTGTCTCGACGAGCGCATCGGCCGCCCAGTCCAGCACGGTTGTAGGCACCTTGGGCAGTGGCTCCGTCGGATCGTCGTACGGCGCGGGGCCTCTCAATTCGGGATATCTCTCGAGCAATATGGTATGTACCTGCGCACTCAGATCCATAAAGACCTCGTCGATACTCGCCTTCTCGACGCGCTGTTCCTTCTCAGGCAGAGTCTCCTTGATGCATTTCAGGATCTTGCGGCTCTCCATGCGATATGGGTCCAGGCTGACTTTATGCGTCGCCATGTCCCTGAAGCTGTTCTCATGATATGCCCATGTCTCGTCTCCCTCCTTCCACGTCGCAACGTGTTGCAGTATAAGATCCGGACATTGCTTCAACGCTTCTGTCGAGGTGACGTGTCGGCTGAGTCCGAATGCGCGCGCGGGGTAGTTGATCGCTATCAGGCCCTGCCATTGTTGTACGGCGAGAGGTTTGGAGGGGTCGATGCCGAGGCGGACGGTTTCGCACTGCGCGTAGAAGGCATCGAGGTCGACGTGCGCGATCACGCGGAGCGGCGTCTGCGGGCTGTACGTCTTGAGCTGATGCAGCTGTTTATACGTAAACTTGGACTTGGGAATGCGACGCGGAGAGGTGATGGAGAACTGCGACGAATGAAAGTCCGGCGATGGTGACGACATGCCGAGTGACGGCTCATATCAGAATTTGGGGTCGCGTTCGAGGAGGGAGCAATAGGGTCTGCGAGGGTACTAGCCGTGTTGCATAGTGGAATTGAAGAATGCGATGCAGACGCGACACCTGGAAGGCGCGTGTTCCCGCGGTCCCGTGCATGCGCGTCATTCATCCCCGAGATCGCGCTAGCCAGATCGCATTCGTTATTCGATCAACACCAAGTCTGCAACCACCGAATCAATCTCACCACAAGAATTGTGCTACCACTGGATATGGAACTACGCTGTCGCAATTCAAGGCAAAATCCATGATGAAATATCGACTGCCAAAGTCCATGTCACGACACGCCCATGGCATTCTGTCATTCTCCGCTGGAGCATGACATTAGCATCATGCGATTCCTAGTGAGCACTTAACGTTTAGCGTTTAGAGGAGCGAGTTTTGACTTCAGCTGTCCAAAATCGAACAGTTGGATGGTATGATCGTGCGCATGCGCTGCCTTGACGGTCCAGGACGATGCATCACGTAGACGGCAGACGTATATCAGCAGGCGATATATCGCGGATGATCTAAGTCTGACGCGTACCTGAAGATCAAGCCGCGGCGTGCTCCAGAGCAGGGTTACATTTCGGTGATTGGCCGCGGAGCCACATTTCGAAAGATAGCAGCCACAAACCAGCGTGCAGCATGCAAGCACACGCACGCCACATTGCAATCACAGTGACAATACAGAAATGACCCGACAGTCTCAGACGTGGCAAAAAAATCCATGAAACTCCTTTGAGTTGCTGCACTGCCATACCAAGGCTCTTGACATAGTCATTGACGTCATGGTGAGCCCTTGATCCAATAGGAACATGCGGCTCAAGCCTCGCGACTACAGCAGGGCGAATACCTAGGGCGTTGCTTTTAATCGAGCTGTATTTTGTCGTGTGTAACCTCCTCTAATTCCCATACAAATAGTTACCGTAATCATGATCGCAAAGATGGAAGGAGCTAATGGACATGCGGAGTCTGGTGGAGATGTACCAGTCTACGCAATCGACAATGTACCCATTACCCAAGAAAGGAAACCATACATTCAAGGAAAGAAGTCAAACCTACCACACGCAGGTACGTACCACGGCGCGCACGCTACTACTACGTCGTCTGCTAACTGCCAATAGCGGTCGCACGTGCGAACCTCGCTCCTTCAGAGGAAACACCTCAAGGCAGCACGCAAGACGACTGGGCAAACAAGCACTCGCACCAAACCGTACTGCAACAGCACTGCGACTTCTTTGACCGCGACCACGATGGTATCCTCTGGCCGCAAGACACATTTGTCGGCTTCTACCGCCTTGGCTGCGGACTCTTCTTCTCCGCCTTCGCCGTATTGGTAATCCACATCAACTTCTCCTATCCCACGTGCTCGGGATGGCTCCCGGACCCCTACTTCCGTCTCTTTCTGAACAACGTGCACAGAGCGCGACACGGTAGTGATACAGGCACGTATGACACCGAGGGACGGTTTATACCGTCGAAATTCGAAGAGATCTTCACCAAGTACGCGGAGGGACGGGATTATCTGACCGTGGGTGATCTGGTGAACGTGTTGAAGGGGCAGAGGAATATCAACGATCCTATCGGGATGTGTGGATTTATCTTTGAGTGTAAGCATTATCGTTCTCAAAAAGTATGAGGGGGAAATGCTGATGTCAAGTAGGGACTGCAACGTATTTGACGCTCTGGCCCGAAGACGGTCGGATGATGAAGGTACGCGATATGGAGGAACCTATCTTGAGTTGCTCTTCATGCTAACAATAACAAGGAGGATATTCGCGCCGTATACGATGGCAGTATTTTCCAAAGGATCGCCGATAAGCGCGAGAGAAAGATGGAGATGCAGAAGAAGAAGAGTCAATGATGAGCGTCGGCATCTCCGATAGATCCATAAAGAGGCTTGGTGCATATGCACTGCACGACTCCGAAAACATTTAATCGAGTTTTGAAAAACGATCGCTGAATATGTGGCGCTGTCCTGGAGTGTAAGAGTACCGCTACTGAAATGTGTAGTTCCACCAACCCGCGCCCAGACATGTGTCGTTCCGAAAGACCGACCGAATCAAGCAGTGACATCACCAGTCAGCGCATGCCCCTGTCGCATCCATGGATTCCAATCAAAGAACCAGAACCTCACCTGACGATACTTGTACTTTTACGATAACTCCCGCATAATTTTCGATTCGAACATACAGATAAGGCTAGCTTGCAGGGCATACTACCCGTAGCCAATGGTAGCTGTCAGGCCGCGGACACCTGCATGCAATTCGTCCAGTCCTTCGATCTAGCAGCTAGCACATAGCACGCAGAAAACTTTTACCATGGTGATCGTGATCGTGGATTAAAAAGCTGGTGGGTGAGCTTATCCGGATTACGGTACTTCGTCAGGACTAGTGGCCGGCAGAAAAGACCCATCGGACAAAGTGGGTCACGCTCTATGGTTTCTGAGCACACGTGATGATGCGCAGGAGATGGAAACTACAGCTCTGAGGCAAAGCATTGAGTCTGGATGTAGCGAATAGCACAGTAACCAATAAACCGTATATTGTTCCAGCGTTGTTGTAGCCTCCACCATGCTCTGATTCCACCAATCTCTCGGCGCGTTCAAAAAACGATGCTTCGCCATGTCCTCGACGCCCTATCTTGCTGAGTTGGCTCAGCAGTATCGTTGGGAAGCTTGAGATCAGCCATAGTCTGCAACAGCCGATTCAGACGTTGTTCGGTCGGATCCGAGGTGATGGACTCTACGTTGACAGGGTATTCGCCATAGACGTGTTCCATCATCGACTTCTCCCTGTCATCTTCGTCTTTGATGTGCGCCCAGTCTTTGAGCAGCTTGACGTCTACCGGATTCATCTTGTCGCGCAGAATGCGGAATACGAGTTCAGATAAGAAGAAGTTGTGGCCTTGGTCGCGCAAGCCCTTGGCGCACAATATGAGCGTGGCTCGTGTGGCTTTCATTATGGCTGGGAAATGCTCTTGTTGCGCTTCCGGGGTGCGTAGACGCTCGATCGAATCGAAGCCTAGCTGAACGAGGACCTGGAGTAGGAATATGTAGTATGCCTCGAAACCGTGACGGTGGAAGAACATATGGAGAAGCGTCTGCAGACTCGCTTTCGAGGCAGCATATAGTTGGGCCGGACTAAAGCCTGTATACTTTTGGAATGCGCCATTATTGTTGGGCCAGTTGAGAGACTTTTCCTTTTCCAGGAACGGTTGGAAGGTCATGGTAACGAGGTTGTGGAACTGCATGCTGTGACCCAAACGTTAGTCATTTGTACATGAAATACATGTCAAACCTCACTGTAGCAGAAGCTGTGTCGGCATGGCGGCATTCTGTGGCTGTAACGGCTCCGGAAGATCACGGAACCATTGTACCAGCATAAGATGATAACGACTAGCCTGCTCAATATCGAGATTGTTATCTCCATCGTCCTCTGGAAGAGCCTTTCCGGCTATGTCGTTCATGATGCATCGAAGCTTGATGAGCGACAGGAATGTCTGTCCCAGGTAGATGGGGGTCTAGTAGCTTGTCAATTTGGTCCATGATAAGGGGCAGGTGGGGACGTACCACGTGTGTCGCAAGAGGGTATTTGACCCAAATCTCGCCAAAGAAGTCTTGTGCGTCTTGATACGCGGGCAAGCCGTCCTCAGGTGGAAGTCGAGACAGTGGGGGCTTCATAAGGTAAAAGCAAGAGAACCTGAACCTACATCAGAGGCGATCTCAATACTACGTTTGGGGGCAGGGGCAGGGGTAGGACGAGGAAGAGGGTGAGGGAAACAGGAGACGAGGGAAAGGAGAAATCAGGTAAGCTCATACGCTTGCTGAGAGAAGATGCCCCAGGCTGTGATGGTTCTTGAAATGCGGTCCTTCTCGTTATTGTATTGCGCGCTCTTAGCAAATAAGTCTAGTCTATCCGCAAGCGCTAGAGCGTGAGACCACATTGTCCAGCCCATTTTGTCCATGCCATTGGCGAAGTATATTCGGCCTATGATGGTAGCTGCCTGGGCAGACGGAAGACTACACACGGCTTGTGTCTGTTCCAGCTCCCATAGCTGTCTGGTCTCAGCCATACACCGATAGCTATAGGTATTGGGATTCCAAAACTCGGACCTCTGCCCAAGCGTACTCAAGCCGTGCTGTTGATCGTGTCAGCTCACAAGGAAGCAAGTGGGAGAAGCCAAGATGGAACCTACACAGGCTGCGGTGAGAATGGCGCTGACTAGGAGTGGTGAACAGTAATCAGACCTTCCAGCAGTCATGTCATCGAGAAAGTGATCTTTGTGGAAGCAAGGCCACAATGGGAACTCGTACAGGAAGTAGCCTTCGAGAAGGCGTGTGAGAAAGACGTCGTCGTCGCTTATCGAAGTCCACTTGGACGGCCTCAGGGTGTCTGGCGCCATGCGTGGATCGTACATGCGGGCGCCTGGATAGGGCACGTGGTAGATGGCGCTGTGAGTCTGCTCCTGGATGTCCGTGCCGTGATGGGCAGTCTCGTTGGACAGGGCCTTGTACAGTCTGGAGGCAAGGTAGGGGTTGTCGGCACCGTCAAACAGCGGCATCATGTCAGCAAGATAGGGAGCGGTGAACTGGTATGTCGTGTCTGGGACCAGCTTGAGCTGGACACGTAGACTGCCATACTCAAGGAAACGAAGGAGGGTGCGCTCGTCGGTGCCGCGACGCAGCTGGGCGAGGATGTCCTGGGCGACGTGCCATGGCTGGGAGCGCAGATGGGCGAAGATGTGCCGGAGGAGGGCATGCTGGGGGTGATGGTGTGCGTGGACCTGGACCTGGCCATGGTATCGCCTGGCACTGGCAGCAACGGGCCGGACCGCAGGCTGAAGGTAGTTGCATGGCGTGTGCCGCTTCCGGCACTCTGAGCACTGTGGACGTTCGGTCGAGCACTGGGCGCGTCAGAGGTGTGGATGAGTTTAGCTCGCGCACGGCCGCCGACTTACCTTGGTGATGCGGCCGCGACAAGCTTCACATGCTCCTGCGCCCACAATCCGCTGCAGACTCAACGCAGGCCGCGCCCGAGATAACGCCGCGCGCTGGGTGAGCTGCGGGCGGGCTGGAGGCAGGTTCTCGTCCATGGGCAGTAGCTGGCTCACCTGTCAGGCAGATACGCGATTCGGGTCGTGGCCGCGCCGTCTTGAATATTGCTATTATACTGCACGTAGGGTGGTGCAGGGCTCGCGGACCTCGACCTCCCTCCTCGCCTACGTACGTGCCTGCCTGCTCGTACACAGCATGACGTCGCCCGCCTCGACGCTCATTGGCCACGGCACAAAGCGCCTTCCTCTAATGGGCGCCCTCCTCGTCTCGAAAACTACCCGACTCTGGCTTATTATGTTCAACGCGTAAAGGTTGTCTGCCGGAATGCTCCCCCGTTCCGTCACCACGACGCAGCTGCTACTCCGATAAGGACTGCACTCGTGACTCCACGCTACGACATCTAGGCGGACCGTTGTCTCCGCCTCAGTCTTTCCCTCCACCTCCGCCTCTGCACACGTGCTTCGCCCCTTCTCCCAGCACTTGCAGGTGGTCACGTCCAAGTGAATGGATAACGGCCGCTACCCGCCCGAGGGCTCCAGCTCCAGGGAGGCAAAGGTGGCCATACCAAGAATTCCTGGCCATGGATACCAGATGCCGCCTGCCACAAGAACTCCTCGGGTCCGCACCGAAGTAGTGAGCAAGGCTGTGAGTAAACTCTCTTGTACGATTGGGCCGGTGCTGACGTCCGCTTCTAGTGCACGCAGTGCCGTAAACGAAGTGGGCCCTTCCTCATGTCCAGATCGCACAACTTCGGCTTGCTGACTAGCCCCAGAGATCAAATGCTCTGGCCACCGTCCGCAATGTATCAACTGTCAACGGCAGGACAATGATTGTCACTACGACCTGGAGCGCAAGGACCGCCTCAAAGGGTCTGTTCATGTCTTTGTTCATCTGCTCCACATCCCCGTCTGACTATCAAAAGAGCTCAACGCAAATCGCACGCCTTGACTGCACTCTTGATTGAAGTGAGCAGCCAGCTTGACGATGAGAGCAAGAAGAGAGTTGAGGATACCTTGGCATCTTTCGAAGACGACACGCCGCCTCCTCCACCAACACCTGCTCTCTCTCATGGCAAGCGCGCAAGAAGAGCTTCGTCACCTTCCCCCAATGACGATGCTCTGAGCGCCACATCTGTAGATGGCGGAGAAGCTCACGTCTCAGCTTCAGTCGGCTCCAACGAAGATCTAGACTTCGTCCAAGAGGACATTCTCAATACGGATGAGGCAGATAACACGGGCTACATGGGTCACAATTCGCACGTTCAGTGGCTCAGAGCCCTGGAAACCAAGATCGAACAGCCCGAGGGCGAACCTGCCAACATGCCTTACGGGCCACCGGGCGTCGACGGCGACGCCTTTAACCAGCGTGCTGAAGCGCTTCACGGGCGTCAGCAACAGAGCCATACTCGCCCTTCTCCGCACCATGACAAGTTTTCTGGCTACTACTTTTACCTTGACAAGTCCAACATCGACGTCGATGTTGGTGATCCACACGTCATACCCTCTGCTGAGTCGGCCGAGAGGCTGTTCGACTACTACAAAGCAGTTGTGCACAGCCCATTCCCCATCTTAGGTGACATGTTCGAAGCTCAACTGAAAACGTACTTTGCCAAGGATCAGGGCAGTCCTACGCTGGTCGTCTGCCCAAAGTGGAAAGCTGTTATGAACCTCGTATTCGCTATTGGCGCACGCTATTCTCATCTCATCGGCGCCGAATGGCAAGCCGACGATCGTGATCACCTAGTGTATATGTGGAGAGCAATCCATTTATTGCAGCTCCAAAGCATTGATACTCTCGTTGCGCAGCCAGATCAAGCGCTGATTCAGGTAAGATCCGTTGAACTTGGACCCAACATCTTTTGACCCATGTCTAGGCGTTTGGGCTTCTGTCTTTCTACTACTTGACAATAGGTCATGTCAGCAGGTACGTCGTACTTCGAATGAACGAAGGCACATTCACCTTTGTAGCCTGTAAGTATGCTAACAAGGACGTTGCAGAGCTTGGTACATGATTGGCATCGCCCTTCGACACGCACAGGCCGCAGGCTTGCACCTCAGACACGAAGACCCTTCCATGTCTCCCAAGAGAAAGAAGGCCCTGGCCCAGATTTGGTGGTCACTTTACTCCATCGAATGTGTTCTTACTTGCATAACTGGGCGCCCACGCACAGTAAGCGCCATTGACTGTACTGTACCGCCACCAGGCGCAAAGGGTACAGAACTGGATTCATCATCTCGTGAAACCACCACATCAGCTGCAATCAGGCAGGCATCTGAGTCTTCTGCGGGCGAGTCCATGATCAAAACCAGCGTAGATCCGTTTGACGTAGCCTACGTTAGGATCGATATCCTCATGGACAAGATCTTGTCTGGCTTGTATTCCGCACAAAAGTCTGCCAAGTCCTGGAAGGCTGCCCAAAAGGAGATTGCTTCGCTGTCTGACGATTTAGAAGCCTGGGCCTTGCATTCCCTGGTTCGGGGTCCAGCAACAGCGACCGCTGCCACTTCAGAGAGCAACCTGAGCCGAGAGCAGGTGCTGCTCTACATCTATTACCACAACGCCAAAATTTGCATCACCCGGCCCTGTTTATGCCGACTAGACCTGCGCATAAAGGGCCAGAGCGAACAGTCGACTCGATTCAACCAGAAATCTGCTGAGGCCTGCATAGGTGCAGCTCTAGATCTCACTTCCATGTTGCCAGATCCTCCCAACCCTGCATGGTTTTACGGATACGGTCCGTGGTGGTGTGCTGTTCATATAAGTAAGAACCTCACACATTGCGATATGGGGCTTGGCTAACCACCCCTATAGTCATGCAAGCCCTTACGGTATTACTTCTCGAGTTGTCATTGGACGGCATACACTTAACGGTCGAAAAGTCACACATTACAGTCTGCATCGATAAGCTCATACGATGGTTGAATTCGATGAAACCCGTCGACGCAGTCAGCGAGAACGCATACAACATTATTGCCAGAGTCATGAATAAGCAGACCAAGGAAGAGGCGGCCCGTCGTCGACTACCTCAGCCACAAATAACGGATCAGCACCAAAAACAACAAGATATAGAGCATATGACTTTTGAATCACAGCAGCGATATCAGCCGTACAGTCAACCTCTTACGTTGCAGCAGTCAGATGTTGCATGGCCAAGCGCTGACCCATTCAATAGCAACATCTACTCGCAATACAACACAGGCAACTTCGATCTCTACGACGCTCCTGGCGGCGATATTTTGAACGATCCCACCACTGAGCTAACAGAATTCAGTCAGCCTCTGAATCTGTTCTATGGAAATTCCTACGAATCGACTTTCGATCACTGGGAATGGGATCCAGCGGCTTTTCAGGATCCAGATCAGCAAGGATATCCAGGATATGAAGGGTATGATCCAGGTGGTGGCTAGATGTGTGGCGTACACTCGCCAGCACTGTGGATGAAAGAGGTATGAACATTGCGCCTTCAAGGACACGGGTTCAGAACAAAATATAGAATGACAGCGGCATGTCTGAGCAATCAGCAATCCCAGTCTCGTTATACAACACCCAAAAAAGCATGTAGTATACCACATAATTGCTGTGTACACTACTGTACTAGGATTACCGTTACTCCTGCAGCCGTTGACGGTGTCCCATGTTGCTGCTGTTTTCCACCTTAGCATAAGTGCGGTTTCATGAGACTCCTTGCGCTTCATCTTTGATATGACACTCATCACGGCGAGGTAAGCCCCATATTCGATGCCAGGGTGAAGTTGTATAACTGCATTTCTAATTTTGGTAACAATATGATAGACCCGAAGAACATACCCGCAGCAGCAGAACATTTAAAGTTCACAAGCTTCCACGTTGTACATACCCTCAACAACCTGACAGTCCTGCCCATATCGCTCCAGCGCATCCCTCACTGCATCTTCCAACTGCATGGTCTCCACACCAACGAGCTCATTCTGAACAGTCCTCTCCAAGTCCTCCGCATGACCTTCATCATCGCCCTCATAAAACTGGTTACACACGCCCAACCCCTTCATCGCTTTACCCATCTGCGCTTTCCCTTCCTCCTGCTCACCTCCTTCCTTCCACTTCTTCAGCACGATCAAAGCGTTTCGGTGGATCTTGTCCACGTCGACGTGCGAGATGGTGAAGGTGGTATCGAGAGCCTTTTCAAGGGTGCGCAACAGCGTGTGTTGAGTGACATTAGAGGAAGGGACAATGGGATCGAGGAGGACGGGGCGGTTGAGGATGGGGTCGGGGCTGCGGAGCATGTTTCCTGCTGCGAGGCCCATTGTGGGTAGGGGTGTCCAGTGTAAAGGTTGGTTTCCGGAGCCGTAAATGCGGGCGCGGCGGTTGGGTATATCTGGTGATGTTAGTGGGATGGTGATGGTTTGTGGTTGATGGGGAGGTGCTTACCAAAGCCTGCTGGACCTTTCATCAACCCTATCATACAGTAGTCAGTATCACCCTCTCAAAACCAGATCACATAACTAGAAAACCACATACACATATCGAAGAACGGCCCACCATTCAAACTCGTCCACGCCATCTTCCCCTCCCTCCCCAATCCCTCCAGATACTCTCTGATCCTACATTTACCGCCAACGAAAGTTTCCGGTAGTCTCCTGAACGCTTCCCGGGTGATCTCTCCGACGAATTCGTTGGCGAAGAAGAGCTTGACGCCTGCAGCGACCGCGGCGTCGATGATGAGTTTGGATGGCTCGTAATGCGTGGCTCCGCCTGTGATGCAGTTTACTACTGCGTCTTGGTTCTGGAACGCGGCTTGGAGCGACGAAAAGGACGTGTAGTCGACAGTGCGGTGGGTGATGGTAGAAGGTGGTGTGTAGGATGATGTTGGGCGCGTGATGCCTGTGATGGTGAAGCGGGGCCCGTCTTTGAGGAGTTCGGTTATGATGGCGTTTCCGACGTTTCCTCCTGGCTGTCATTGGTGTTAATGCTGGGGGGCGTAAGACAGCTCGGGTGAGTCGGCATACCCCGAGGATTGTAATGTTCTTGATCTCCATTCTGAAGCTTTGTTTGCGATAAGTATGGAAGGATATGAGATATTGGATGCTGAGTGTCAATGATGAGTTTCAATACCAAACTCCATGAGACTACAGGATCTTATATATCTGTGATGAAGTGCTCGTCCAAAAGCAACCAAAGCTTCCAAAACAGACGCCACAAATCCGTCGATACATGCATTTCGTTCAAGTCGTACGTTTCTGAGGTTTGTGGAGGGTCAGGCTGAAGTAGGCAGCCATGTGTATGATTGCCTTGTAGTTGCCTGATCTTGTTGGAAAACGTTCGGCCTGAGTCTGGAAGCTGCATCCTTCGGCTCGGGAGATGAGAGACCACCGATGCTCATCCTAGACCACGCTTGGCTCATTCGGTGTTGGTGCAGCGAAAGAGGCTAGCTTACTCACGTGTTTCGTCGGCGTTTGAGCTCGAACAAGCTGGCAAGGTCAAATGCCGAGCGTGTTCTATATTCGTGTCATCATTCAACGCGAAGCAGTCGCGTAATTGAAGCGTGATAGGATAAAGTAAATAGAAGCGTTTCTACAGCGTCAAAGTATGGGCAAATATTGGTTCCTGTTGTCGGATATTATCATTGCTGCATGTACTTTGGAAGTGACGATGGCGGGGCAGCCGAGGCCGTGATGGTGGGGTTGCATCATCTCAATACACAGATGATTGTAGCAACACAGCCGTTGAGTAGTTGAATAGCAAACTGTCATGCTTCCAATTGAGCGGAGTAAATTACCACACTCGATGTTGCAATCGAGCAAGTTCGGTCCGAGATAGGCCGCTTTGAGCAGCGCCGTTGGTGGATCTGGGCAGCACGTAATAGAAGGTTACCAAATGCCGCTGCGCTCAAGATAACATTAACCGGCAACTCTTTCGTCTCGACCCCTCCATTCTACCAGAGTACTCGATCGCCCTTCAAATTCCTTCACACATCGCCTATCCACCATGTCGCAACGAGCAGCACTTCTTATCGGCAAGCTGTCGCACGCTCAAAAAGAATGGCAGCAGGTCTCACAGGTAGCATCGAAGCTACACGAGTACCCCGATGGCAACCGAGAAGACTTCCTCTCAAAGTGCAAGAGCGGCGAATTTGACGGCATCTATGCTCTCTACCGAAGCAACGACTCGAATCCGATTACCGGAGATTTCAACGCGGAACTGCTCGACGCTCTGCCTAAGAGCCTGAAGTATGTTTGCCACAACGGAGCGGGATACAACAACATCGATGTCGCAGCATGCACAAAGAGGGGAATATCGGTTTCGAGCACGCCGATAGCGGTCAACGACGCGACTGCAGATGTTGCCATATGGCTTATGCTAGGCGCGCTGCGAAATATCAAGCAGGCATACATGGCAGTCAACAACGGTTCGTTTCTCCAGCGTTTCGACATAACGTGACTAACTCATTTCATAGGCAAATGGCGCGGTAACTTCTCCCTCGGTCACGACCCCAAGAACAAGACACTCGGTATCCTAGGCATGGGTGGCATCGGTTCGGCAGTCGCACATCGCGCAAAGGCATTCGGTATGAAGATACAGTACCACAACCGCAACCAACTACCAGCCAATGAGGAGAATGGAGCAAAGTACGTCAGCTTCGAGGAACTGCTCAAGACATCCGATGTCCTCAGTTTGAACTTGGCACTCAACCCGTCGACTACGCACATCATTGGCAAGGAGCAGTTCAACACAATGAAGGACGGGGTGATAATCGTCAACACTGCACGAGGTGCATTGATCGATGAGGCCGCTCTGGTGGACGCGCTGAAGAGCGGCAAGGTCTGGACATGTGGACTAGACGTGTTTGAGGAGGAGCCGAAGATCCACCCGGGACTACTGGAATGCGAGAGGGCGGTCTTGCTGCCTCACGTTGGAACCGGCACATACGAGACACAGGTAAGTGACGCTGTCCATGCATCTCATTGACTATGAACTACAACTGACGGCTTTCAGCGCGACATGGAAATATTGGTCTTGGATAACTTGAAGTCGGCTATCCAGAGCGATAAGTTGTTGACGCAAGTACCCGAACAGAAGGGCAAGGCAAACTTGTGATTGATCGTCTGGACGATCGGTCTTCGAATTGGAACATTTGTACTCAGTTTGGTAATGAAGAAATGATGAAAATCAGCCTGCAACCATTCTTCTGCATGAAAGCGAACTTGACGTGACTATAACTAGAAAGCTTCGTGTATTGTCGTTTACATAGTCCCGACACGCTCTATGCCAGGCGGCATGTCGGCTTAAGGAACAAAGGAGGCAGCGTCGGAGCCGGTGACTTGGCTCGGCATATGGATTGCTTAGCGATTAGGCCAATAAGAAGCTTGTCGCAATTTCAATCGCCTAGCTTCCGTGTGGAGGCACGATGTGGAGGAGGAAAACCTGGGGTCGGTCTTTGAAGGAGTGTGGAGAAGAAGGGGAACTGTGAGAGTAAATCTGGAGTCGTCGGTCTTTGCATCGTGAGAATATCGCAGGTTCGAGAAATTATCGGCTGCTGTTTGGGTTCTTCACATGCACAAGACGAGTTCACCGCCCGTAAGCAACGCTAAGCATGGGCCTAGTCTGGCACCCGACATCTTCGCACGTGAACACGTCCGCACACTGGATTCCTTCAGAAACTGCATCTGCGCTGCACAGTCAGCGACTCATCCCGTCTGTTAGTCCTGCAGCCGTTTGACTCGTTTACTCATACTGCAGCTGTAGGATTCACAGCAAGAGCCTCAACACAATCGCAGCAACGGCGTTTGAATGGAAGGATAATTACCACCCGCCATGCCGACCCACCAGCTATGGGGCGCTCCGCCCTGTGACTGGCACATCTGGAGTCCCCACGATACGTCCCCACGTCATTCTCCCCGACGTCGCGTTACACTATGCCGACAGCCAAGCCAAATGGGCTTCGCCTTTTGCCTGCGGGTTTTGGGTTCGGAGTTTGGCTAGCTAGGCGCTGCGAGGCTGGTGCTGGGGAAACTGACGATATATAGTCGGATGCTTGCCGCGATGTGACCTTACCTAGGCACATTGACAGATCGACATCACTGTCTTTGACCGCTCGTCGCATCGCCATCGCATTCGCGTAGGGCTTTTCTTCTGTTATATTTGGCTTCCTTTGCGACGCGCTGCCATCATGGCCAAGCTCAACATGTCCGAGGTGTGGGCGGACATCAAGACGTACCGTCGCGCCTATGTACTCACCGCTGTGGCTTCTTTTGGTGGAATGCTGTTCGGTTGGGACACGGGTCTTATCGGAGGTATGTATGCGCATTCGCACGCGCAATGATCATGGCTAACGCGCTTGTAGGTGTATTGACGATGGACGCGTTCCAGCACTCATTCGCCCTAGATAAGGACAGCAAAGACTTTGCCAATCTGCAGGGAAACATCGTGT